TGAGCCACTTTCAGGAGAGATGTGACAGAGTTTTTGCGGCACCCATAGTACCATTCATGAGGGATATTATACGTTAGCTAGTTCGTCTTGTGGTTGCTTTTCAACGGATTGTGGCCACCGGTAAAATGTTCTCCAAGCTCCGGTCACTCGTTTTATTAACTTTTGAGCCTCGTAGAAGTCGCTGGTTGTATGGTGGTGGGGTGGTGCGGCTTGCGGGTTCACCGGTGGAGGCCTAGGGGCTGCCAAGGCAACTGAATTACAGGGTTTTGGTAACCTAAATGGTTCTCCTGTTCATACCCAGCTACAATATAATACTGATATGGTAGTTTTGTCGGGCCCTCGAAACTGTCTATGTGGTACTGAACACTTATCTCGAAAATGTGATCTGATCGTCGGATAAGCCATCTAATCTGATGACCTATTCGCACCTTAGCACCTACCGCCCTGAAGGAAAGAGCCATCTTAGCCACCCGGAGGGAAGGGAGGGGAATGGGGGTGGAGGATGTGGGAAAGAGGGAAAAGAAGCAACATATATCCCTGACTTGGCCAGTACAGGAAGAAGCAGGGAATGCTTCTCACAAGAGCTACCCATCGACTTGGGGCGGGGCTAAAAAGTCTCAGACCAAAAGAGAAAGAATTGCCAAATTCCTAGAGGTCTCGAGGGGCCTATGCTTGTATGATACCAAAGAGCTTGGTTCCGGAAACATCTTACAATCCCTCAGTCTTCCCTTTTTCTCTCGGCACCTACCCCCCTGTGTTCGTTTTTGGTCGTCCCACCCTCTGCTTGATTCATCTTCTGCTCAGAGATAGAGGAACCAGCCCGAAATAGCGAGCACTGTTACTGAGGCTCGATCCCCGCTGCACTGTGAGTCGACACCACTCCTCAGGAATGGGAACGACCCGAATCTCGAGTCACAGCCCCACCTCGAGAATGACCACACCGATACCCCCCCGGCTACCGGCGATCGGAATGAGGCTAACGACATCCCACAAGAACTCCCTTCTGCAAAACTTTTGCATTGTCTTGCTGACAGCTTGGGTTGGCGTCTTCCTGGGCGCTGCTGACACCACCGTGATAACTACTCCCCTAGCACCAATTTCGACTTCATTCTCTTCATTCAATTCTATCACCTGGATAGCAACCGGGAACTTTATCCTCAATGCCACTTTAAAACTGTTTTTTGGCAAATTAACCGATATCTACTGACGCGAATCTGTCCTTGCGCTGTGTAATTTCATTTTCGGCGTCGGGGCGTTGATGTTTCGGCTTACGAAGGATCAATATCCCATGATTATTGGTTGGAGATGGGCATTCGTCCTATAAATCCCCTGCATAGCCATTTCCGCTGCTTTGGTGTCAATTTTCGTGAATGTTGCTGTGTCCTCTGGTTACCCTCTTGCTGGGGTTGAATACCGGCTGAAATACGCTGCCATGGACCCACCCCGTTGGGATGACATGTCTACCCTTGGGCGCGGTTTTTCTAGGCGCTTTCTCCATGGTCGAGTGGTGGTATGCGAATGAGCCGGTCATCCCGGTTAGACTGTAGGGGAACAGAACTGTGTTGACGGTTTGCTTTACAAATTGGTGTATGGTGGTGACCGTTATTGCTGTTGTGCGTCGGCGCCTACCCATCGAGACACACACAAAGTTAATGATATTGTCCAGAGGTACTTTTGATCTCCAATATACTTTATCCTCAGCGGTTACTCCACTGCGCAGGCCAGCCTCCGCTTAACTCCCTTCGCCATCGCCACCTCAATCGGAAGCCTAGAGGCAGGCCTCATCATAAATGCCACTGGAAGATACTACATCCTCGGCCAAACCGTCATGCTAACATTTGTCCAGGGCGTGCTCCCGATCTGTGCATTCAGCCTGACAATCCCGCTCTTTTCACAATTCTCCAACCTTTTCATGGCCGGCTCCGGTTACGGCGGAACACTAACCGTCGCTCCACTAGGACTAATATCCTTAGCCGACCACAGCGAGCGTGCCGTCATTACATCTGCCAACTATGCATTCCGTTCCAAAGGTAGCACAATTGGTATTACTATTGGTAGTTCCATCTTCCGGAATGTGTTAGTGAGGCAATTGCGCGCGCATTTGGGAGTGGGGAGGAGGCGGATGGGATTCTCCGGAGGCTGAGGGAGAGGTTCGATGAATTTGACGGGTTGTTCGAGGTATGGAAGGTGCGGAGGGGGTAAGAAATATGGGTGGAGAGCGGGACAGAGTGAGAAGTCTGAAGCGGGTGGAAGCCAAGGAGAGAGGTTATGAGACGAGAAGCGTGACGAGGTATGGTGTAATGCATCTAAAACGTGTACCACTGGTGTTGCAAAATGTGACGCCTTACGTAATCAGGGTAAGGGGCCTTTACTGTTAAGTTTGCATAGTAGGCAATTTCAGGATTTTGGATTTCTGATATGAGTAGTTTTATTTGCTAGAAATTATTATAATAGATTTCTAGAATGATTCTACTCCAAATTCAAGTTACTAACATGGCAATGTGAAGAATACCTTCGGTGTACAAGATTTTCATACTCCTTGGATCCATAAACTGTGTTAGATCTATAGCCTTCCATGATCCATACTGTTCGGGCCCAGTATTTCCAATTTCTTTGATCAACCAGCAAGCGCCTCTGGCACCAAATAATTGAGAGATTTATAGGAGAAGAAACAAAATTGGACTCTGAAATGCAATATGAAAATAATATCATCCAGAGGTGACTACTTCAACATGATTTTATAAAACTTATATCAGCCAAAAGCAAATTACTGCAATTTACACCCCTTATCCTGATTACATAAGGTGTCACATTTTGCAATGCCAGTGGTACACGTTTTAGATGCATTACACTATATTACCGGACATGCTGTACATGTCCTGTCCAGACGTTTGTGAACACGACCAGCCCTGCATTAGCGTGCACAGAGATGCATTAGTGTGCATGAGAGGCATTTTGATTGGGTAAGCAAACCAAAACTATATCAGAGAATAATGAAATAACACGAGAAATGAAAATTAGAAATTGTAGTTTATATACAAAAAAAACAAAACATGTTAAGTAAAGGAGGCAAACAGCAGGAGCAAGAGGAAAAAGTGAACATAGAATTTAGAAATTAAAGTTGTTGCCACCATTATCAGCAATACAAGTGTCAATGCGGGCAGACATCGATTCAATATGATGATTTACCCGTTCCACAGAATAATTCTTCTATTCCTAGTAGAAATCATTGTATTAGAAATTAATTGAGCAATATATTTAGAATATGATAAAACGTACCTGTTCAAGAATACGGCGGATCTCACGAACTGTCATCCGCTGACCAATTTTATCCCGGAGCTTATCTTTCAGCTCAGTCTAAATTGTTTCACTTGGATTTAAGTCCGGAGAATTAGTTGGCCAAACCAGCTTTTAATATCCTCATTTTTCTCTAGGAATATTATGATAATGGTGGATATGCGCAGGAGCATTATCCTCCATTATTATAATATTCCTATCAGGAAATTGTTCTATTGCCTCCTGTGTAGAAGGATAAAGAAGGGGGGACAAAATTCGCTCCCGATAGATATACCAATCTATCCCTCCCCGGCGATCAATCCCTCGAACCTTGAGTACCGGATCCGGAAATGGGACTGGGAACCCCCCAGCTGCTGCCTGAGCATTTTCTTCTACTTCTATATCATATTTCTTTTGTAGAATTACAAGTGCCTCGTTCCGCTGTTGGGTAGTCTCATAAGGTGTAGCATACATATGGTATGGAAGTTGATTTTCTTTTAAAATGTATTATATTAGCAATTATGTACATTAAAATAGTAATAATAATAACAATAATTATAATAACAATAAGATAATAATAATAATAATAATAATCAATAGTATAATTACCTAATTTACCATACAAGATAGCTCCCCAAAACATTACGGTTGCTCCGTGTACAAATTTTCATGGAATATTTTATGGCTTATAAGCCTCGCCCGCACGTCATAAAACTCTACGTGTACGGCGGCGACGCAAGTTTCCCGTCTGGAAATAAGACTCATCAGTAAAAATAACTGACTTCCAATCTAGATTTCGGTAAAGGTTGCAGAAGGCAAGGCGTGCGGCTTTCTTGGCTGGACTGAGGACGGGCTTGGTAGTTGGCTTTCAGCGAAATATCCCATTTGCTGCGAGGACTCGGGACACAGTTTGTCGACTAACATTCAAATTTGCTTTTATGTACATTTATTTGTTAGCAAATTATATGTAATTAAACAAAAAAAGAAAATTACCAGCTTCTGCAAGTTGAGAAAATGTCATGCGACAATGTTCTGCATCCTTTAATGCAGTTTCAACCAGGTGGCTCTTTTGGACATCGGTTAGAGCCTGATTGGAACCCTTCACCGAATTGGGTCAGGGGACAAGATTTTGAGTTGCACAAAGGTCAGAGATGCCATTTTCACTCGCTCGCTGTTTGGCCGTCCTGATAATGTTCGAACAGGTACTTTTTAAGACCCCGGTTAGCTCCGATATTTGAGCTAATGTCATTTTATGAGGTCCTTCAAGCATTGAATACCCGAGGACTTGACCTCGCTTGCTCAGGGATATTGTCAGACCACGTGGTGCAGGCATTTTGAAGCTGAATTGAAAGAATAGAGCAGTGTAGTTCTACATCTACGAGCATGAACGTCATATATTCTGATTGACTGACTAAGGTATCTATTCACTTCTGATTGGTTGTTGTCCTAATTTCACACTAATGCACTCCTATGTACACTAATGCAGGGCTAGTCGTGTTCACAAACGTCTGGACAGGACGAGTATGCACCGGTATGATACTCTCCGTATTATAGCATAACCCGTTCAGCGAATGTACTCCAAACAATTACCAAACCCACACCTAATCTGAACAGGCATTTGTACTAGTAAACAAAAAAACAAAAGGTCACAACCCTCTCCCAGACATCCAAAGCCATCCACTTGCTCACCACGGATTTTTCCCACTGCCCCACACCTTTTCTCAGTCCTGTTTAAAGATAAAGTACGCAATGTTAATACAATCCCTGTTTCCTGCGGCGCTGCTGAAGCCCTCCCCTTCAAACACATGCCCTAGATGGCCGCCGGGGTTGGTACAGATAATCTCCGTCCCGTGCATGCCCAAGCTCCCATGCTCGTGCCGAGCAATGGCACCCGACGTGCCCTCAAAGAATGCCGGCCATCCACACCTGCTATCGAACGCGCTGGTGCTCTCGTACAGCGGTGCACTGCAGCCCGAGCAAGTGCAGACTCCTGGGGACGTGTGGTGGTTGCAGGTCCGACTGTTGGGGGGTTCAGTGCCACGTCAGCGGAGGATGCGAAATTGCTCTAGGTAAAGTTAATTGGCGGGGGAGCAGTGTACCAGGGTAGCGGATCGCACGCCATTCATCGTCGGACTTTTGGATCGGGGAGTTGGTGTTTGTGGAAATTTTGTTCGTGGTGTTGTTGGTGGTGGAAGTGCTCAAGGATGAGCCCATTAACTTACTGGTAGCATCGCCTAACCCATTCGGAACGCCACAACCACTATCATACGATACAAAGGCACAAAAATGATGATCTCCCGCTCCATCCTGATGGTGATGGGTTTCACCTGATCAACCGCCCTTTGAACCTCAAGACCCTGTCTTCGCACGCCACCATCCCTGCCCTGAGTCTTGTGAGCCTCGGTACAGTACATACCCTTTAATGAACCAAACCCATGCTTTGCTAATTAAGAATACCTATTCGTCCCCAGCCATTGTCACCAACGCTCTGATAGCCCTCTTGGTGGGTCGGTTACTCCCCTCTCAAATCCAACACCATGCAAGTACCCGGTGTTTAGGGCAAGATCTTTAAGGCCAGAATTTAGCATGAGTACCCAGGTGCGCACAGACAATTGGACTTACAAACTTTTACCACAGGTTTTCTTGCTCCGAGCGCCCCATCTTTGTACTCCAGCTCCCGATCCCTCATTTCCCTCGCCAACAGTCTAGTAGTGGACCACGAACACTCCCTGAGAGCCGGCCCCGGGAGCCACTCTTGCGGCAGGCCTGGTTGCGCCTGGCCATCTCTGTTCCCCACGTGACAGGCTTTGACGCTCCACCGCGAGGTGGTGCATCTCAATTAATGAGTTGACCGTCTGATTCCCAGGTACGATAGGGTAGGGGGTAAGTCAAGGGAATCAAGAGAAAGGACAACCTCCGGGTTCATGTGTGGAAAAATCGTAGAATAGAGCGTTCTCTGGAACCCCGCGGCGACTAGACAGCGGATATTCAAGGCAAAGGATGCGATTCGCTTGGGAGGCCCAAGGCTCGATCCTACCGGTTTTTCTATGGTTTCTATCAACTCGACGGATTTGGTCAAATCCTTTCTGCCAATGTAGTCGCCAGTGCACACGACTCTGATGTGCGTAATTGTACTCGTTTCACCGCTTCAATTGAGTGCTCTACTTCTATGTATACAAAGCGGATAGAGAACACTTGTGCACTTTTCATACATCAGAACCCTCTCCCACCCTCATACCGCCTTCAGAATTATTGTCTTTCACAGAATCACGAAGTTGGTATCTCCACCCTTATCTAACACCACCACACAAGGAATGAACCCCGCTCCAATGTCTGCTACCGCAAGAACTATTGCAGGTGGTGCTCAAGGGCAAGTAGACAGCCAAGCAGAGGGCGTATTCGATGGGGAATTAGCCGTCCTTGAGGCAGCGAGGGCGGTATGGGGCTTGATAGGTACCCACTATGTGGGCGACTTTGCCGTCATTGGGCGAGCTGCCCTACTTCTCCATGGCGCCCTTATCCCGACAAGGGATGTTGATCTGGGTATTACAGCGGAATCAACGGATGCGTTCGAAAAGGCCACTGCCACGGATACCAGATTCTGTCAGTTCCCTCTCGGTTGGGAGTACCGCTCAACCTTTGAGATAAATGTTGGGATTGGTTTCGTCCGGATTGGAGGTGGCTGCCTCCATAAATTGCAAGCCTATTGCGTGGATGGCACCCTGCCGGTAGCCAGTCTGGTTGACCTGGCGCTCGTGAAGGAGATAGCCTGGGTTGACCGATGTTACCAGAAAGACCTGGATGGTCTGCAGTTTGTGCTCAGGATGGTGGCGCGAAAAGGGGCAGAATTTCCGAGAATTGCAGGGTGAAGAGAGGGAGTTGCTAGAAGAGGTTTTCGAGGGGCTAGATTGTATTGATGGAAGGCCACTACACAGGATTATGAGAACCTTGTTATGAGTATTACGGGGGGTCTTTTTATTTTTATGGGCCATGTTATGGCTCACGCATGGCACAGATTGGCTTGTATCATAGATTTTGAGTCCTGTAAGTGTGTATTACACGGTGCCGGCGCTCGTGATTGCAGGGGCACGATTGTACGGTACAACTACATGTATTTTGGACAATGAGTTAGTAACAATGAATGATTGGAAAAAATTGCAGCGGAAATGCAGTGATCCGAAGAAGGCTTCGCAAGGTCCAATTGATAGTGTTTAGTTCGGATCCTGATTTAAGTAATAAAGAGAAGAGTGCAATGGGGTAAATGTTTTGTTGCTCCTTGCACTGAGATACCAAGATACCTGTGAAAACTGTGATAGTCGAGTTGTGTGCTATGTCGTTGGAATTGCCCCTTGGAGCAAGGTATCGTCTTTTATTGCCTTTTTTTTGTCTCTCAGGTGAGCTGAGCAGGTCATTTCTTGCCGTGCTTTCTCCCCTTTCCCGAATGGGGTCTTATCCTTTTCCGGCGAAGGTTTTTGGTTGTGGTAGTTTTATTGTCGGTTTAACCGGGGGCTGAGCTGGTGGTGGGTCAGCTGGTCCTGGTGGGGGTGCCGATGTACTAGACATGCTTGAGTGGCTTTCAGAAGGATCACTCAGTGGGGGTAGGGGTGGTTTCTGTTCCTTTTTCGGTAATTCTGGGAACTCTGCGGGTGTTGTGCCTGTTTCTCGTTTCTTCCCTTTCTTCTGGGTCAGGCCTTCTCATGGGATCTCATGCCCACTTCAAGTTGTTAGTGGATCTATATCTCACTTATTCTGTGTAGGAGCCAACCACTGGCACTTCTTATGTCTGCCACTCCTGCTGGTACCATTTGCTGCTGAATTCTGGTGGGTTGATCAGTCCTGAGTGGAGGTATTTTAACCACTCACTGACATTAAAAAAATTTAATGTGTTCACGCCAGGGTACTAATCACCCTGTTGGATACAATAGGGAGAAGAAGCAGGCTACCAGAGACCAGGTAACCAATCTCGCTAAGGGAGGCTTTGAGAGGGTGAAATAGGAGAAAAAGAGTAACTGTTCAACCATGTATATAAGAATACTTTCTGTTAAAGTCTGCGATTTCCACAGTGGGAATTGGCGGTCTTTTTAAGTACATAAGATTGAGTGTGATCATGAATTCTCACTCATGTTCTTACTCAATCAAACTGTAAAACTAACCAAGTATCAATCGATGCTTAAAACATAACATAAAACAAACTAAGTATTAACTGATACATAAAACAAAATATAAAACAAACTAACCGAGCACCAGCTCCGGTTACAACCAGTCTACCACACTGGTAGTCCCCAGTTCAAGCATGGGCAAAATTGTTTTATTCTTTATTCAACATTATAAGTTTAATTTTTACCTTCTTGCATCTTTCTTTGATTTTCCTTGTTGTCAATTTATTAGTATACTATCTCCATGTCAAGGATTGGCCTGTCATCCTGAAATAGTTAGAGCAAGCCTATAGAAAATGTAAACAGATGCCAATTCTCAACTTGGAAATACAAGTAGGATAGAAAATATCAGACTAGGTAAGTTTCTGTGGCCTGGTGAAACAATAATAAAAAATCTAACAACTTAAATAACCTTAAAACTAAACAAACACTGAATCTCAGCTAAAAGTACGTATACAAAATTCGTCTATATAGGATCTCTCTTTTGTTCTGTCTGTGCATGCCAGGGACATGTATGACCTACTTGGGTATAAAGGTAAGTGATAGAAAAGGTAGGGGTGTGAGGTTCCCATGCTCCTGACTGTCAGAGGAAAAGAATTATTTAATTTGGTAGGCATAGCTTGAAGAAGAATAAAAAGCTCTGAAATCTTGAACCCCTGTCTTTCCCATCACTAACTTCCACCCTTGAGTACTCAGTAAACTGTCACAGCCTAGACGTGTAACCATGCCAAAGTTGTGGCTCTGCCACAACTCCTGATTGCTCTCTAGCTCACAATCTACAGTACATCTTCTATGTACCAAACAGCTCAACAGAAGATACCAGCTTAATAGAAGATTTGCCTTTCCCAAACTACTTACGTCGAATTTACTCCACCAAAACCATCGAAATCATGCCTGAAAACTATGTGGAGATTGAGGCAAGAATAAAAGAAGCATGTGCAAAGCTTTTAGAATTGAAAAAATGTAATATTGCTACCATTGCACCCCAGTTTTCTATTCCAGAAGGCCATTTGCGTGCATGAGCAGCTGGATGTCAGTCAACATCACAGAGGCCATCAATGAATAAATGTCTTACAGAAGCTGAGGAATTAGCTGTCTGCCTTTATCTTAAAAGGCTTGATAGTATTGAAACCACAGCACAGCTTTCAATAGTCACAGGCTGTATGAATGCGATTCTCAAATAAAACTATGTATCCAATTTACCAGGCCAATCACCTCCAACTATTAGTCCAACTTGGACCCCACGCTTTTGTGAATGCTATCTAGAATTCTATAGTCATATGCAGAAATCTCTGGAGCTTATGAGAAAGCAAGCGTGTGATCCAATGGAGTTGAAGAATTGGTTCAAGCAATACAAAAGCCTTTGCAATACCCATAGTATTTCTTTCTCTGATGTATAAAACTTCGATGAGACCGGGTTCAGCATTGGTGTGAGCAAGGATCAATGGATCATCATATTAGATCCAGACCAGTATTCTTATTTAGCAGGCACAAGTAATCAAGAACATATAATCTCATGTGAGGTTATTAGTGCTAATGGTATTGTCCTACCATCAATACTTATCCTTCCCAGTATACTACATCTTATTAACTAGTATATGAAGACCAAGCTTGAAAATGATATACTTCTAAGTGTATTGGAAACTGGTTACTCTAATGACTTACTTTCCCTCTCCTGGCTATACTACTTTGATCACTTTTCATCTGAACATCAAGTAAGAGTCTATTGCCTATTACTGCTCAATGGGTATGGATCTCATTGCATAAAGAAGTTTATTGACTTCTGTGATGAAAGACAAATTATCCCTTTCTACATCAGCAAAAATCAAAACTTGCACCATGTATGTCATGTACGTTAGATGCACAGGCTGCACAGGATGCAAACCAGGACTCAGGACACAACTGTCCTTGGCACCAGAAATTGGAATGCAACCTAGTGCTCTTAGAATTTTCTGAACAAAAGTAAGCACTCTCTAAATTCTGTGGACGCAATCAGATACAGCAGCCATTCTCAGAATGTTAGTGAGCACTACTAAATTTTCAGGATGCAATACCAGGACT